GGTTATGCAAACCACTGTGTAACCGTACAGAACTCACTTCACGAACTATAATCATAAGTTTCGCTTGCTGAGGTTGTCCACACTATGTTTGGACCAGTCTTACCTCAAGGGAATAAGCAATTTTAGAAAGAATTTTTCACTCCTCCTTACATTTCGAATCCGCAGCTCTAAAGTGCGAAACAGAACGATTTCCATCTCTGTTATTGTTTCTTCACGCTCACTTTGACCAAGTCAAAAATGTCCCTGCAGCGTTGAACGTAAACAGTTTATTCCTGTTATCTGTATTTGCAATTTATTCGGTTGTCAGTTTTATCATCTATTGATCTGCAGCTCTTGCCTCCCTTTTGGTTCTACGTGCTTTCAGCTTAAAGCCATGACTTGAACGGAACTGACTCGTGAAGGGAAGCAAAAGATTATTGAAGTGCTCGCGATACAAGCATCCAGTTTCTGAACAGAGACAACGGCAAGGACTGGTCATTGATCATGAAGAAAGCGGCAAAGGAGCCAATAAGTAAGACCCAAACGGAATTGCACCTCAATCTGTCAGCTTGGACTACAGTATAAATCAACAATTCGGTGATATTATTGTCACATTAAGATCATGATCTTTTCGCACCCGTTTATACATCCTGAAGTTTGATCCAGCGCAATCTCAAAAGTCATAATTGTATTCATAACACCCATGTGCAGAGTAAATGCCTTGAAGATATTGGTAATGAATAAATGGACTGAAATGGAATTAGAACAAATAAATTAACTAATCGACAATCTATCAACAAGACCATTGTAACCGAGTTACTGTACAATCTTCATATGAAGAGAAAACAGCCAGCAGATCTTTCCGAGTGTTCCAGTGTCACCAATTTGAACAGAAAGCTAAACTGCCAAATCTCGAACAGTGATGTCCAAAAATTGTAATTGGTGAATGAAAGGGAACAACGACAAGGAGCTACGAACCTCACGTGAAAGAGTAGGAATTTGCCATTCAATAAAAAACTGACACCAGCCTTCTGTGTTTTTGTGATCTGCCAGCAATATGGTTGCAGAGCATAAAATTTTATTGAGGTTGTTCGGTTATTCGTCTGCCATGCGTTCGTCCGAGTTTGGCCATCATGGGTTTTAATGGCTACCATGACGCTACCATTGCTCAGAATGTGCAATTCACCGTATGTCGGTTTCGTGTGATTTTCGCAGTGATCGGCGCTCAAGGAGACGGAGAGATCGATTTTGCCACGCATGTACATGGCTGATCAATAAATGACTACGGTTCGTTGCAGTCCTTTAAAATGAACACATTTCGATGAGTATATAAGTTGATGGATCAGCCATAAATAATGTAGTCAATTTTTTGCGTAACGCATCGTTTTCGACATTTTCCAATGCTGTGGTCGGTTGAGACTGGAATCACGCTTCTTTTTATAACTAAGATTCTACAAGCCACTTCAAATCGATCAGCTGCACGGAGGTACCATGAACGAATGATGGCTTAGTTATGACGCTCA